ACAGGCAAGAACAGCACAAGTGATGCGTATTTTAATGCTGCTTCCATCGCACAGCTGCTGTGGTATTAGCGAAAGGTTATTGGCGTTCGCATCCTACAACCAATGGGGTGCTACTAGCCTGACCTCTGTTTGACGGCTGGCTCGTTTAGCTATTTCCCCGACGTTACGCGCTAACCCCTCCACCCACCCTCAACCCTCAAACTCCACCGGCCGCTGAATGCGGAAATGACCCTAACGAGCAGGCACACTTTCGAATTAATACTGCCATTAGTATCAGGAGCTGAACAGTGACCAAAGTGGATTGTAGACGAAGTGGCAATACGCTAGGCGAAAGGAATATATAGAGCAATTAAATATATAGCCTGTTAAATCTTTCATTACAGTAATATAGAATGAAAATACACGTCTAGTGAAATAATATAATAAGATAAAGTATTAATTACAATCTATGTTAAGTTAAGATTTTTACAATAGTTTTATTATTAATAATGTTATATTTCTTAATATATTTATGATTCGAAACAATAATTTAATATAATAAAACGAGCTACATAGGCAACATTTAAAAAATGCAATAGAAATTAAATTAAAAGCTAATATCATAAATTACCAATCAAGGTAATGCCGCTGTCGTATGTCAGACTCGACGCTACCTGAGTCACTGGCGGCGGTCAGGCGGTGTATCGGTCGTGGGCAAGCGGTGTGTAGCAGGTACGATTAGACAGCCTGGCGCGATCCGTGAGAGGCGACGCTTGCTGCCACCTGTGGAGCGCCGAGCAGACGAACCGTTAGTCAGCCATAGGGGCGGACGAAGGAGATGAGTGATCTTCCTCACAGTACTACATACACTTCAACAAGTTCAGGACGAAGTCGTAGAGCAGTTAGCAATCCGTTATTTTAGCTCCGTAATTTGTGTAAAAAATATCCACAAGAACAATCGTGAGCAGAGCGGCTGAACACTATGTGATTGGATTGACCGAGACGCCGACAGCCGCGGTCAACAAGTTGGCGTGCCCGCAATCGTCTGTTGAATCCATAACTAGGATTTTGTGCCGAATGAAACACACCAAATTAACTCGTACGCGTTTAAAGGTCATTGCCTGTGGGCGGCGCAAATCATAGAAAAAATTTTCATTGTCGGCGTTAAAAAATCCGAAGCATCGGCTGTGCGCAGAGAATTGCCAGCCGCGCTACACTCACCCCTCTTATACACAGAGGCAACCTGGGCGCGATAGCTCGTGACGGCGGCTGGTGACATTTAGGCTGACTGATGGCGACAGGCGTGAGAGTGAGAGACCGCGTGTGTGAAAAAAACACTATCAGTGTGACGTGTAAGGTGCTGTTGTGTGCCGGTTGGTAACAGCTGTCAGGTGTTTGGACGCGTCGGATATTCGATTTCGGACCGACAGATGGCCGCCATGACCTAACAAGTCTCGCAACTCGCCACCGTGACATCAGCAGAATGATCCGCGAATGAAGGTTTGTGATTAGGACGAACTTAAGTTAATGTTTTTTCTCGCGGCAAGTAATTGTCCACGCTTTCCCGTAATTAATATCGGAGAGTTGTATTTATTAATAGAATATAGTGAAATTAATTTAGCAACTTTAAGTCAGTCCCTACGCACCGCAAATTCAACTTCACGTATGCTATGACATGAAGAACATATTGTGCGAGTGTTATGACGGCGTAAAATAGAACAAACAGGCACAATCTGCACAGAATTAATTTGCGTTTCTTTGCCATCAAGTACTTTGATCGTATACAGCTACAGTGATCGAGCAGGCAGTACTCGTCGATTCCCCCCCCCCATTGCCTCTCGTTTAATTAAAATAACCGTCAGTGCGATTTTTACAGTTGTTTTTTCGATGCCCCCTATGTTCTGTATAAACTTAGGTCAATATGGACGAGTGGGCGACGACGGACGTGAATCCGCTGCCCGTATCGACATGGCATATGACGGCTTACGGAGAACCCGCTCACCATCAGATCACTGGAACAATTCAGGCTACTGATAATCTATCCGTCGATGAGTGTGTATTAAAGAACACGCAGCCGCGGCTGGCAAAACGTGCCCTCCCCTACGTCGCAATGCATTTGTTAAAAATATTTAAATATTTTTGAATTGACGAAATTCTCGAATAATATAAACGAACTCCGTTTGATATTGGCAGTGTTACAAGACGTCAGATGTAAGCAAGATGTATTGTAACCTTGCTATAACGCTGTAGTTGATACCTATTTGCGCGTACTTCGCATACTATAGCTAATGATGTATAATATCGCTGGATTTGTTTATTGATTCCACATCAGTTGCTAGTAAATTTTTGTTTCACATATGACAAACTGAAGCACGTAATATATTGAATTATTTTGAATATTCATAGAAGAACACGGCACAATGCTCCTGTGAGAAAAAACGTTAAGGTGGAGCTGGGATTAATGATGTGCGCATTAAATACAATGCACGTAGGGCAGAATATGTAAATATAATTGTGGTTTTGTGTAAAAGCCACAAAATTGCATATATGATGCTAAGGGATACTAAATGCATTTCAGAGAAAGTGCAATCTGAATTTTTCCGTAACTCCGTAAACAATGGAAATTCCAAGCATGCCAGCCGCGGGATATTAAACTGTCTATAATTAGGTATAATCAATCTTCGGTAACATATTTGGGGTCAACATGAAAAACATGAATAAAGTGTCTTTTATTAGTGTTTCTGAACTACATGCAACAAAGATGTCGTCGCTGTAGCTTATTTCAGTTAGCATAAAGCAACGTTCAACGAATGAAAGCAACCGATTGTCCGACACATGTCCAGCCACTTTCTCACTTCCAGATAAAGCCTCATTCACATTCAACATCTGTAGGCCTATATACACCTCGTGTACATACTAACACACACGTGTACCGCGCACACGCGCATTATCTTGATGCGCGCGTGCAGGACGCGAGGCACTCACGATACACGCGTCGCCCGGCCGCTCGACACGCGCGCGGTACTCGGCATGCACGCACGCCGTGCAGCTCCACGGCACCATTAAATTGAATATAAAGTGTGGTGCTGATGACTGCCTTCATCGATTTTAGCATTTGCCGGGCGAAGCATCACACTGGAAAACATATATATGTAGCCGGCAGGAAATTACATACTTTCTATGCTGGTACGCCCGCCCAAAACCTCTCTCCCTGCTTCTCTCTCTCTCCTCTCTCTCTCTCTCCTCTCTCTCTCTCTCGTCATATACACACTACAGCACACACACACGGCACACACACACACACACACCACAACACACCATCCACACGCACCGTACGCACGCCACGAACGCCAGCACAGCGACACACCACACGACACAGCCACACACGACACACACACCACACACACACAACACACACACACACACACACACACGAGACACACAGACACCAGCACACGCACGCACGCACGCCGA